AAAAAAAAATCTTGGCGGATCACGTTGCAATAAAAAGCTTTGGTTCTAAATTCAGTTTATTTCTTTATTAAAATGTTTATTATTTTTTACATTTTTTTCAGTTTATTTCAATTTATTTACAATTTATGTAGATGTATGGACTATCAGACTAGCTCTCTCCCTAAATCATCATCTATTTTTTATTCCTTCCAAGGAGTCAAAGGCTTTTGTTGCAATGTGACTGATAAAAAGCCTATCTTCTTACAAACTAAGCAGAGATTGTATTGTTATATTTTTAACAACTAAGCTGAAAATCCACTGAAATTCTCTTTTGTAAGATTTTCCAAACAGCCAGGAAGTCGGTAAGGAGTTGTTGGGGGCGACATACATTCTACCTGCGGACAAAGTCACACGACAGAGACGCAGCCAACCTACACTTTCAAAATACTCTCTCTACAGCAGGGTCTCCTTCAAAGGGCATCTCCCTTCTCACCTGTCACAAATCTGACCTCTGACTCTAAACGACAGATTATGCGAGCTTCCGTGTCTGACATTATTCACCAAGTGCATCTTATCAACAGCTTTGTGGCATCTTAGAGGGGCTCCCAGGCTGGTAAACAGAACAGAGCAGAACAGAAAACAGCACAACCCGACAACTGTCTGCTACACTGATGTAGGTGACTGCTGAGCCGCTGAGCCCCACAAAGTGCTGCCAAGTTTTCAGTCCAACCAACCAAGCCAGCAGCCCTCGGGTCAGCACCTGGACTCCAGGACAGCTCACTGAAATGAACACCTCAGTCAGGGTGGCAGCAGCCTCGCTCTGCCTGGACAGTCATGTGCCTGCCTCCGTCCTAGAAGTGACATCTGGCCAGAGTCACAGCATCCTGGCCAGATCATTCTTCAAGTATTAGGAAAGCACGTTTCTTGATTTTCAGGCACACTATGAAGACACCTTCTGATGCTGTTGCAGTGTTCTCCAGAGCAAGAGACCAGCAGGACAGGCCGAGATGCACAGGGAAAGGCTGATAGGTGGTGGCTGGCCCACGTGGTGATGGAGGCTGAGACGTCCCCCCACCTGCCGTCTGCAAGCTGGAGGCCAAGGAGACCTGGTGGTGTAGCTCAGTCCAGCCTGGAGGCCTGAGAACCAGCAGTGCTGAGGGTAGAGACCGACATCCCAGATCTTGCCGTCAGGAAGGGGGGGCCCAGAATTCTCCCTTCTTCCACCTTTCTGTCCTATTCAGGTCTCCCTCAGTGGATTGGAGGAGGCTCACCCACATTAGGACTCTGCTCTACTGAGTCCACATTCAAATGCAAAAAATGAAAATCTCTTCTGCAAATACCCTCCCAGACACACCAGGATAACATTTAGCCAAATAACCGGGCACCTCAGGATCCAGTCAGGTCGACACATAAATCAACCATCATGAATGTCTTCTTCCAAAACCCCACTGTGCTGTCTCCTGTGCCTTCTGGGGTGCACACACCCTCTTCGAGGGCACCCAGGCTCTGACAACCATCTCCTCCTGGGGAAGTACAGAGAGGGAAAGGACCTTTCCACAGCACACAGAGCAGCAGGGACAGAGGGTCGTCAGCCCCCAAGTGAAAAGAATTTGGTCTCTGACTCTGGGGCCAAATCAGTCCTCATTGTCTCCCTTTCATCATTTATTCTCACTTGAGGACAAGGCACCATGAGACAGACGTGTACACGGACACAGACGTGCATCAGCTGGACAGGTGATCAGGGATGGTGCTGGTCTCCACAGAGAGCGGCTGCCCAGCAGAGGGGACACACGTGGAGATTCGGGGTGGGCCAGGCTGTTCAGGCTGCACAGGGCACAGGTGTCCAGGGGCAACCTCAGCCCACTGTCAAGAAGGTGAAATATGGGGAGGTGGGGTCAGAGGAACACAGATGAAGATGACAGCAGATTTGTCATTAAAAGCAATGCCAGACAAAGGACAGTGGAACAGCACCTTTAACGTACTGAAAAGAAAAAATACCACCAGTGCAGACTCTCAGCCCAGCAGAAGCATCTTTCAGCCATGAAGGCAAAATGGAGACTTTTTCAGACACACAAGAACCGAAAGAACTCATCACCAACAGATTTGTGGGACATTTTAAAGCAGGTCCTTCAGGCAGAAGGAGGATGACACCAGAGAGAAGCTTGGATCCACTCAGAGAAATAAAAAGCACCAGAAATCATAAGTATGTGGGTAAACCCAAAATACTCTTTCTTATTATAATGTAGCTTTAAAATAGAATTTAATG